TGTTTTAATAATAACAAGTTTGTTAATTTGTGTGTTCAAATTACTACCTGCAGTATTATTTTAACAACATACAAACATAATACTAGTTGTAAACAAATTATTAAATGGTGAACTGGATTTTACGAAATTATGATAAGAAGATTATAAATTCCAATAAAATAAATATGAATCACTTTACTTATTGGAATACTTTCAGATCAAGGTGAAATGTAGGCTTTCCTCATTTTTCTTTACCTAATTGATACCAACATCTTAATACTAACTTTATTAACACTTTCCCGCCTAAACCTACTATTAAAAGAGTTCGTATATCAATTTAAACTTTCTTTCCAACCACTAACCAGTAATACAAGATTCACTTCATCTCCTCAACATGTAAACTAAAATTGCTATGCCGATGACCTCACGCAAGACACTCACATGTTTATTGATTCAACAAAATCAAAGAAACTTACCTTTTTCCGCGGTAAAATGACGTTGCACTATATAGGGAATGAGATAAATTTTATATAGCCACAGTTTTTGATGTTAATTATTGTCAATTTAAGTAATTTTAAAACAATTCTTTGTGAATTTCAGCACGGGCACCGCTATTTATTCACAAAAAATTGACAATGTGAATTGTCAAAGTCAAACAAAGGAACTGCTTTTGACATTGACAGTTCCGTTTAATGTTACCTGTTTATTGAATTAGTATTGTTGTTGTGAAAATGTGAAACTAGCTGGCCGTTTCTGCGGGAAAATCCAAAAAGCAAGGTCACTCAATGAACATTGTTGTTGCTGTACGTATTTATAAACCGCAATAATTTAAAAAGTAACATAATTTTACAGCAACTATTAGCTGCTAGTGCTGCAGTGCTAGAGTGGGCAGTTAAAAGTGCGACTCCTGCTGATGAGATATCAGATTGATACCTATGTAGACGAAATCTCGATTTCATAAGTGTTTAGATTCACATTTAGAACTTCTTAAGCCACAATCAAGGTCACAGTTTTTAAATCCACTTCTTGCTTGGCTGCCTGCCTCGCTCTTATTTCAAGGGATTTACAATAATAACTTAAGTAGCAATACAGAATACATCGCGACCAATGGGGGCGTCGCGGGGTCGTAAGCCACTAAGATATGTTGAGTAAGTTAGACACATCTTGGCGACTCTTTCTCTCGCAACCCTGGAGACCGCGGCGCTCGCGTCGTGAGTCTGCCGCTTACGCGCCTACTATGCATACATGTGTATATTACATTCTACCCGCTGTACCATACTCATATTGTAACTTTGTGTCTATTCATTAATTTCAGTGATTGTTGTTTCTCAAAATACAATTATTATCCGAAATCTATTTTGACTATTTGACTAATTTCCAATCATGAGAAGGTTCTCATCCTTTCATACTTACGAATAATTGTACCTATTGAGGTATACCATAACATATGTTTGCATTTTTTGAAAAATAACTATCAATGTGTTCTGTAGAGGTAGAAAATAATGACGAAAACTCAAGAATATTTTCAATTAATTTATTTATCACATCAAGATTATTAAATAACAACTAAGACTTAGATTACATCAGTCATAATTATTTAAAATAATACCCGACATAATAAAATAATACTACCTCTATAGTTAGTGTACGGCATTGCCTCAGCCGAGGCAAAATATGAGGCCGATACATCACCATTTTATTCCAACCATAGATTACATATTTATAATTATACATAAAAAAAAGAAGATTTTTCCCTCCATTGATACGAAACCATCTTCTAGTTACGTCGCATTTGGTGGGTATGGTATTTTATTCTCATAAAAACAAACTAAACTACAAAAAATATTAACAACAATTAAAAACTTATTAGGCAGACGTTGGCACATGTTTAGTTCCTTTGTCTCTTAAAAAAGATTATTGGCCAATCAAGTGCCTATAATTTGAATTTAGAACATTTTATTTTTAGGGGGAACCACCGAATTAAAACCATTTTTTAATTTACACACCAAACCAAGGCACACAATGTTTCAAAATAAAATTAAAAAACATACATAAAATTAAAACAACATTTAAAAAAGATTCAAATTATAATAAAAACCTTGTTTGTACATTCGTATTAATTATAAAAAAAAAAACAATTTTAGTTATTATGCCAACAAGTGTGTTATTTTTTCATTCTATTAAAGTTTGTAAGTTGTCTACAGTACATGGATATTAAATTATGTACATATCGGATATGTTAGACATTAAAATTTAATACCTATACTTTAATAGGTACGTCTTCTATATTGTTAAACCAGAATTGCAAGCGCTGGTTTTTAGATTTCAAAGACGTAAGTTTGTACGTCGTAAATAGCAACTGTGACTTTTAGTATTTAGGAGTATTCGGTATTCTTTGCTTATTTCTATTACAATTATGAAATTCATTAAAGTGGGTATTCTGCATTATTATAATTATGCATGTTTTTTTATTGAATATGAATAGGTATTTACTAATGTCTGGGTAAATATTAAATACTATATTGTGGCAGTTCTTATAATAGGGGGCTAACGTTTTCCTGCTTACTAGATCCAATCACAGCAGTTGTCAAATATTGAACTTCGAATGGTGTACATGATACAGCTTGGTTGGAAAGCGTATAGGAAACTCAATCAAGTCTTCGAGTCACAGATACCGCAAAGCCTGAAGACAAAAATCTTCAACGAGTGCGTCCTCCCAGTAATGACATACGGAGCCGACACTGACAGTGCGACTGGTATACCAATTTATGGCCGCGCAGCGAGCTATGGAGAGGGCTATGCTCGGAGTCTCTTTGAAGGATCCAATTCGAAACGAAGCGATCCGACAGAGAACCAAAGTTATCGACATAGCCCAAAGGATTAGTAAGCTGAAGTGTCAGTGCGCCGGTCACATTTGTCGAAGAACCGATAACTGTTAGGGTAAACGTGTTCTAGAGTGGAGACCGCGTCTACGCAAACGTAGTGTAGAGCGCCCTCCAGCTAGGTGGAGTGACGACATCCGCAAGGTGGCTGACAGTGGTTGGATGAGAGGAGCTCAAGACCGAGCTCAGTGGCGTGCCATTGGAGAGGCTTATGTCCAGCAGTCGATGAACACAGGCTGATGATGATGAATGGTGTGACACTTGCAAATTACCTATTGGACGATAGGTACACCTGGCCCCATTGAAGGAAGATATGTATTTGTCAAATATTGAACTGAAATAATGTATGTGGTACAAAATTATGGTAATATCCTGCCATTAGGTATAGCTGCAATGTATTTATTTATTAATCTAATATTCGAGTTTATTAGTATTTATTTATATTACATAGAAAATGCTACTTTATGTACATTACTAAAGATCGATTTTAATATTTATCCATATTTATCTGTTTGTGGCGTCGTAACTTAGGAATATTTCGATAGTCATATTTCGATGCGGAAATGTGGTGATGTAATATCTATCAGAGGAGGTATAAATGCATTGCCGGTCTTGCTTTTTCGGGAGAGGGGACTCCAGTAACGTCAATCATATAGCGAAACAACGCGTTGTTTTACTATAGTGTACTGCTCGTTGGTGGTATCACTCCGGTCGAAGTATAGCTATGCTCTCATATCTCTCATGTAAATACAGGATTTTTAGTAGGTACAGTGGGCAGCAAGTCAACCTAGACTTTTCTGTCAATTTTTTATTACATTTTCAACTCTATCGTTAAGGTATAGAGTCGAAAATCAAATGACATAAATCGACACAATGGAGAAGGTCGATGCGCTGGCCACTACATAAATAAATACACAAATAAAATTTAAAAAAGTATGGTATAATGAGAAAACTTAATGAAAACAAAAGATTCGTTATTGAGAATATTATAGAACATTAATATCGTATTATTAAAGGTAAAAGATTTTTGTATAAAATAAATAAACAAACAATATGTCAAAAACCTTTCATTTTTAACGACGAACTCTTGGGTAGTCCGACTAACATGGCGAACTCTTCTCTAGTCGATTGAACTTGACGAACTTTTCTATAGTCCGTCGAAGTTGACGAACTTTTCAAAAGGAAAAAAATTACAATGATATCTTAATTCATTATCTCAGTTTCCTGTCTTTCATGAAGAAAATAAATAGGTACCATTTTTTTGACTCACTATACTTCGCTAATCTAGCAAAAGGTCAATTTGTACTATCTGCTATCAAAACTCCAACGGCTAATTCTCAATTAGACGAAAAGACAAGAGGCCTACACCAGCGCCCAATGCAAAAAAAAACAGTAGCCCCCATTATACGAAGTCGCACTACGATCGTGCATTCGCGTCCTACACATAGGGCAATCACTTTTTCATTCATTATCATTACGCAGTCAATAAATGCTGAATCAATCAGTCATTATACTCAAGGATACTAATTTTTACGTCAGTCGTTATGAGTCGAGTCAATCAGAAGACATATCCCAGGCCATTGCTAAGTTCTTAAATTATCATTCGCTCTCCACAATAGTCTTTTGTAACTTAAATATACAGGGCTACAGATCAAAGTTACACATAGGGCTTGTACACAGAACTGCGATGCGATGCGAATTCGCAACGTAAAGAATTACGACACGAATTGCTGTAATGCGATGTCGTGCGACAAGGCGTCTCCCAGGGTGACCGTACCTTCGACGACCGTCAATCGTACCAAACGTATTTAACTCGTCGAGTACCGGTTTTGTAGACACAATTATAGAACAATAGGTTGCGGTCACCGGTGATTGAAAATTAGATCGTGACATGGATCGTAAATAGAAGTGTGCACTTCTGTTATTGCTTAGGAGATACAGGACAAAGAAACAAAGATTTTGATACGCGACGCGAATCAATTCGCGAGTTCTGGCGATGCGTAGAGGGAGCTCGCACATTTTTGCGATGCGACGTCGAAATCGCAGTTTTGTGTACGAGCCATAACCAGTCGATCATGGTCTGTCTTCGTATGACTATTCTACCTATTCATAGGTCCGTTTATACTGGTTTTGTATACTTTTACAAAGATTGATATTTACACTTGACTTGATACATTCACCGTATATTTTATAGTCACAATCATGCATTTTAAAAATCCCATCATGTCATACATCAGATCGAAATCATAGATTTCACGAAAAAGAATTGCATAAATAGGCAATTCAATTAAAAACTAGTCGCACACATGTAAAATGGCAGAATTATTATAGAAATGCAAATAATTCATAACATTTTTAAACTATTGTACTTCCATGAGCTTGAAGCGAATAAAAAATCACAGTATTTTGTTTTAAAAACTATCGTGACACTATTTTAGTTAATTAGGCTGGACGGCTTACTCACGAAGCTATTCCACGAGGCTGCTCGACTGATTTCAAGCTGTACCGGGACCGATACTCATGAGCAATCTGCGTGACACACGACGCAAACTCGGACTGAAGATAATTATTAAGGAGTTCAGCTCTATGATCCACCACTCGTCAAGTAGCAAACTTTGTTAAACAATGATTTATGGAATGAGTAAGCCATACAACTTAATTATTCACAGCTTTTATTTACACTACAGATTTCTCAACAACATAAGGTTCATTGTGCCTTGCGAGTTTGTTTTACGTCAACGCGATCGACACGTTTATAACGTTCGGCGCTCTGAGGCCTTAGTACGAGTTGTTTTACGTTTAAAGTATTCGAAACGAGTACGCGTTCGGCACCCTTGATTGGCCGGCGCCAATGAACCAACCAATCAGAACGCCGAAACAAACTCGTACTAAGGCCTCTGATTGGGTACTTGCCAACTAGTTAGTCAAGTTCAATACTTTTTTCGAACTGTCAAAAACTACAGTTTTCTATGAATTTTGTCACGGTTTTTTAGCGTCAAACAGCATATTTATTTCTTAATATTAAAATTAATTGGTCATAAAACCAATTAATGGAAGTGTGATTATTTTTTAATATTCCATTGTATTGAACAGTCGAAATATTTTATTACCCAATTGGCCAACCACAAGTTAACTAATCAATAAGGGGGTTAAACCGCGTTTACATAAAAATAACTCACAGCACTCAGCAATAATAACAAAACTGCAATGGTAACATATACTCAATCACTATTCTACGTCCAGCGTCAATACCATAGATACACAAAGCTCTAAAATCAAAGTTTCACTCATCAGTCTTTAGACACTGGTCTGGACAGCTCTGTACATTCTTAACCGGGATTCTGATAAAGCTGCTAGTATACTGTTTCCATTCAGATATAATGAGCATACGTCTAGTGCTGGTTCTGCAGCTGGGAGCGACATGGTTCTGGCTCCATCTAGTCCATGCAAAAACAGTGCTGATTCGCTCTCGGAGTGCGCTGCTACCCAAGAAGCTCCGGGAGCCTTACAGAAAGTAGACCTTGACATTAAAGACGCTCTAGCAGACCCACTAAACGTCTCCTCCACATCGATCATAACTTTATCAGTTAATCCTTCAGAAAATTTGCAAACGACTAGTTTGGATCGCTCTGTGCCTAAAGCGCTCGGTCGTACTGAGACTAAGGCTCTTTGCGTCTCGTTATCATAACTCATAGACATGAACGATCCTTCGACAGGCATCGCCTTTTGCTTCCAAATCCCGTCTCGTGGTATACAGAGCCAACACTTGTTTAATTGGCACGATAATAGGCCGTATGGAGTAGAACATAGAGACACTACGGGTGACATATCCTTATTAGACGCTATGGTGCCTAGACAGGACGACATGTTTCTGAAGTCGTACAAGTTGACTATCCCGCCCACACCGCCCACGTAGAACTCGCTTGTGTTTGAGCAGTCCCACGCACACGACCATAATGGGAATCCTGTGTTTACCGTCGCACTAGGAATGCCTCTGTCAACAATCCGCGCAGTACTATCCAAGCCTACGCTGAGAAGTAAGTCTCTCGGCTGAGAATACGTCATATCTCTAATAGGTTTAGGGTGCAAGTGCACAAATTGCCCTAAAGAATAATCCAGGCAATTGACCTTCCTGATTCCATACCCAGGGAACAGGTAGTTGATACTCTTCTGTGACACGTACAGCTCGTAAGTCCGACAGTTATACGTAAGAACTCTACAGCCGCCGTCCTTGCATACCTCCAAGTTCTTTTCAAGAGCATATCGCCAAGTGCGTTTACTAATAAGTTCTTTCATACTTTGAGACTTTAGTAAAGAGTTCTTCAAAGTCTCTAATTCTGCTGCACAGGCGCGATGGGCTATTTTAGTCTTCTGCAGTTCCAACTCTGTCCTGCTCTTCTCAGTTTGGAGTATATCCACCTGTTTCTGCAAGCTGGTGATCTGTGTTGTGTCGGCGGCTATGAGTTTCCTTGCGTAAATGAACCTTAGGTCCTTGAGCGACGCTTTACTTTTGCATGTTGGGCAGGTTTTGTCCTTAGCGGGCTGTGCTTTGAGCCATCTCTCTACGCACTCAGCTCCGAAGAGATGTCCACACTTTAAAGCAACTAATCTGTGTGCACCCGAGTTACCCCATATATCTAAACAAATTGGGCAAGTTTCTCCATCAACCTCTTCGTGTGGACTGTGTAGTTTCCTCACTTTAGCTGGTGGTTCCTCCGGTTCAACTTGGTCATTGTTATTCCACGCTAGAGCTGGTAGAGAGTGGTTGGACTCCTCGCTGACTGAGGAAGCTGTGTTACTGTCCTCGCTCTGTTCCACAGGGTGTCGTAAGTGGTGACGAGCTCTTGTTACAATGGCATTGAACTCTCTTACGGTGGGTTGTGGTATGAACGAAGTCTCCTCATCATCATCGAACAGAGGCCAGGGTCTGTCGGAAGCTTGGCTGGAGGGTCGGGCAACTGGTTCCGGACTGGAAGGGGCAACTGGCTCCGGACTGGGAGGGTCATTGTCCTCTAATGCGGGACTACTCATTGTCAGTTCATCTGTAATGAAATGTACTAAACTATTATATGATACTATAGTGGAATAATTGTTTTAAAAATTTGTTAATTAATTGATATACACCATTACTATGTCATTTTCTTTTTTGTTTTATATTTGATGGTTTGACCACTATCTCGGCTCTACCATTAATTTTACATTATCGCTATAGTACCTATGTATAAGTTTTTTTTAAAAAACCTTTGGACTAGAATCTGTACTATAAGTACACTCTTCTGCCTATACCTTAAATGAATATAAAGTAGGTATGATTGTAAGCTTAAAACAAAGTTATGACTGAGAAGCAAGTTGGTTTAAAGAGTTAACTTAAAAAACAGTGCAACTACAACTGTGTTATGGACTTTATTTAGGTTTCACGTTTTTCATAAAGTGCTGACTGTCCAGGGAACAAGTTAAGACATGCACTTTGTTATAATAACATAATCTTTGGAGATTATTTGTCAATCTATAAATAATGATGGATAAGGAGGTTTGTAGCAAAAATCATCGATTTTATCACATGACTTGCTTATGGTATGCTTTTAAAACGCATTTTAAAGTAGATATTTAAATATTGCAAAGTATATCGCTATCTTCCTTTGCTGGCTTATCAGCTGATTGGCGTTGAAGATAAAAAAAGGCGGGTAAAATTATGCCGAAGAAACTCCGCAATATACAAACAATAAAGAGACAAAATTAAAAAAATTAAGGCTCTAACATCGAAAGCTTAGTACTAAGTACTTACCAGAGCTTTCAAAAATTAAAAACCACCTCGTTTGTTGCTTTTGGTCACTTGTTGTTCTTCAAACACTGTTGTAAGTCACCAAATGGATATTTTTATTCAAGTTATATTTCACAAAGTATAGTCACTTCACGATTTATGTATATGGCGATGATTTTCACACTTTTTATTGATTGAAAATGCAGCCGCTGCAATGAAAAAATCAATCGATCTCGTTGAAAACATACCTGTCAGTTGTAATAATAATATGTTTGTTTGAGACGATTGGATACGCGATCAAAATAAGGACTTTGACATGAAATGCTACTAAAAATCCATACTTTTGTAAAAAGTTATTTTGATAACATTTTTAATGCAATGGAGTGTTGTATGAAGTTATTTTTGTGTTACAAAATATATATCTAAATTAATAAAAAACTGAATAGTGATGCACGATAATATTTTCCTTCAGTTAGGCGGAAATATATCAAAACAGAGAAGACTGATAACTTACTATCAGACTTCTTGTTTATTATAATTAAGCTGAACCTAAGTCACTGGGTAAAGTTAATTCTACTCGACTCTATGTTTATTAATAAAAGGGTTACAGGTTAAAAACCACCTTGGTGTACCTTCTTCTTAAACGCGGACACAAGGCAGAGTGCGAGAGATACACATTCTATCGCAGGGGCTATTCTGCAACTTTGGTGGCCCCTCTAGCCCACTATGCTCCGTTTTGGAGACGAGCATAGAATTTGCGCTACTGTCCCTTTTAATGAACAATTTGCTGCTAAGTTTTCATTCATAGTACCCAAACCGAATTATAGTTTTTAAAGAGAGCAATTTCTTCTGTCCTAATAATAAGATAGAAGAATAATATCGTCGTATCGAGTGTACCAATGTACAAAGTTATTTTTGTCGTATAATTGAGTTTAACTCTTAACAATTTCATTACGAACACAGAGCGGGTAAAGTCGGGAAAGGTTTACTGACACTAAAACAATAGTTAATTTTCCTTGAAGATTTAGATGTTATTTATCACGTTTAATGTATCCGAACGTAAAAGGAATCTCTCATCTTTTCTTCAAATCTTCATACAGTTTTTTAGGTAAAGCAATCTAGTGAAAGAGTAGAGATTTCCTTCACGAATACGTGTGATTGGTTAAAAGTGTAAATATGTCAGATTTTAGACCTATCAGCATTTTCGAATTATTATTGGCCAATAGGATTGCGTAAAAACCAGTTGGTTTGTGATGTATTTATTTATGTTCCTGTCAGTTGGCAACAGTGACAAAATTGCAGTGGAACGGGGTGGCGTAGCGGATTGCGCCCGATCCCGTTTTAACATTTTTCACACACAACGAGCTTGATCCGTGACTTATTTGTGTAAAATAATTATAAGTCGATAGTGATAAGTGTTTCGGTAGCGCCCTACACCGCGATGGACGCTGCGTAAGCTGTGAAATTGTGCCTAACAAGTTGTTCGTCGTATGTTGTCTAATGGCGTCCAGAACAGAATAAAATCAAAATGTTTGTGTGAAATCGTGAATTAATCTGAAGAAGGTGCTGTGATGTGTTTAGTTGCTGGTGGGTACATTATGCATACATTTTTATTTATAAGTTGTTAGTGGGAACGTATTGATTATTGTGTATTTTGTCGAGAACAAAGTTAGGTCCTGAATCGTGAGGAAATGGGTCATGAAATATGTTTTTTTATTGTGATTGCGGTGATGTGGAGGCTGTATGTAGGTCGTATATCGGTTGTGTTAGTCAATGTCTGCGGTATTTCGTTGAGGGCGAGCTGTGTTGACATTTTACAGAATGGTGTCGCAAGGCGAGTCTAAAATGTAGGTCAGTCAGGCTGGGGTCACATGCGCGCGCAGTGACGTCAGGCCTCCCTTTGCCACCCCCGAGCACATTTCACTTTCTATGTACACGAAAATATAAAATATATAAAAGCTAGATCATGCAAGCCAAGAGGCTCAATAATAGGATTCCTGTGTCAGATATTTTTAGTCCGTTTGTTTATGGTCGATATTAGTGCAGTTATTGGCTGGGCCCAGTTTAATTATTTGTGAATATTTTATTGTTTTTCTGTAAGTATATTTATCGTTAAACATACCTCTACTCATGTATTACAACCCTACATTGCCCTTATAAGAACACAGTATCTTACTATTAATTTCTCAGTGCATTAAAAAACCTTAAAAAAACACTAATAAATCTAAAAATATGAGTTATGGAAATAGTCTGAAATTCTATTTTTTTGTTAATCTAGATAAATCCAATAACTTAAACATAAGTTCTAGAAAAGCAATTATTATTTATTCTAATTAGATTATTAGAGATTCTAGTTAGAACTGTATGAATGTGATGTAAGTTAAAGATGGATGTGAAGATCTCTGTCTGTCTCTTACTCTGTTGTTCCTTCTCTGTTGAAATCTGTTGTTTCTTCGTATCCCAATCAGCCTATAAGTGCCTACTGATGACCAAAGACCTCTTCTCACACGGAGAAGGTTTGAGCATTAACCTCTTGTATGCCGATATATGAGACAATAGCAATCACATTGTGTCTCGCGTAGATCTGAGGTCTGGCATATCATGGGTTAATCACCATGCTTGCTCAATGTGGGTTGGCGATTTCAAACTTATAATAAGAAATTATTAGCCCAGGTTTTCTCATGATATTTTCTTTCACCAATTGTCACTTTAGTGTCTTGCATAAGTTGCATATCTCTATTGAACAAAGGCTTGAGTTTATATTATGTATGTTATAGGTAATATGCATGAAGTTTTAGACATACATTAGAATTATTATCTTAAGTATTGTAATGTAATAATAATAATAAAATTAGTATGTTATTGTGATAACACAATTACTAAAGTAAAGCAGGTCTCGCTAATAACAGTTCTTCTCTATAATAGATTTTCTTCAATGAGACATTATAATTAATAAA